CTGGATGCACCTCCCAAACCACCTCCTCTGAGGCAATGTGAGGTGTAGATGCTGCTTTGGGTTCTTGATGAGCCTTTTGTCACTAATGCAGGTGTCTGACAGGGTTACTCAGCGCTGATCACACCAAATTTTGCACAGGCCTCGTTTAAAACCTCACTCCCAAGGCACTGGGAGCTGCATCCCTCAGCATGGATCTGGACTACATTCAATGCCTTCATGGATTGGACTGGATGATCTTTAAAGATCCCAAACCATTCTACAATTTCTATTAAATATTCGCTGTTTGACGGGTTGGACTGGATTATCTTTAGAAGCCCCTTCCAGCCCAAATCGTTGTATAATTTTATGAAATATTCACTGTTTGATGGGTTGGACCGGATGATGTTTGAAGGTCCCTTTCTACCCAAACCAGTCAATGATTTCTATGAAACATCCACTGTTTGACTTCTCTGTGTGTCAGAAACGCTGGTTTGGGATGAAGTGGACAACGGCCACACTCAGGGGAAGAGGGAGGGACGTGGAATCACAGAATCACTAAGTTGGAAAGGACTCACAAGGTCCAACTCCTGTGCATGTTGGAAATGAGCTTTTCTCCTTCCCAGCTCTTTTTTTCCCCCCACTATTCCTTTTCCTTGAGCTATTTCTTCTGACATTTAGACATGAGTGCTGAAAGAAATTGTTCAAGTGGCAAAAAAATGGTGGGGGGGTGGGGTAAAAAAACTCTTTCCAGTTTTGTTTTCCCAACAAAATATGAATATTTTTTGAAGAGGGGAGAAAACCTCCAACATCTAAAAATATAAATAAACCCATTTTGTCTGCAAATCCCCTGGTGGGAGTTGGGCTGAAACGTTCCTGAGTGACTCAGTCCTGGGCAGCCTTTTGCCATGGATGGAAACTTGTCCTCAGCAGATTTTCTGGTATTTTCTAACCTGCCTGCAAGAAGGTGTTTCCTTTGTGGACTGAGGTAAAGGGGGAGCCTGCATCTCCTGTGATATTCCCACATCTGCCATCAAAGCATGGCTGTTTCTCCTGGAACATGGTGGTAAAAGCCTCCATTGGTGTTTTCCTTTCCTGCCTCAAACTTGCTGGTGATGATGGCCCTGGAGAAAAACTATCAGCAACTCTGCTTGATCCGTGAGCTGGGAACCTGTGGCTGGATCCTGCTGGAGACACGGAGACACCAGGCTGGTGGATCTGGGCTCCTCACGCTCCTGAAGCGTTCCTGCAGCACAAGGATTCTCAGAGCCTTTCATGTGCCCTTAATGGAAATAAATGATAGGAAAGGAATGAGAGAAAAGCAGGGATTCCCATAATTTAACTGGGAGAAATGAAAGGGATGTGTAGGACAATTGCTGTCCCGTTTCCTTATCAACGGGCACCCTCTGGGTGAGGCTGAAAATCCCAACCAAAATTCCAACGATCAGAGGTGGTGTGACCCACACCCTCCTGGGCACAAGCAGTAGGGAATAGTCCCCTTTTTTGGGCCATTTTTCCTTAATGGTGTTAATCCTGGTGGTTCTTCACTCAATTTTAGCCCTTTTCCCTCACTGCCAGGACAGATTGTCCCAGTTCTTCGGGAGAAATGAGGTTCAGTGAGTTCAGCTCTGGCTCATGATGATGATGGATGATGATGATGGATGGGATGATTTTCTAGTCCCTGCCTTTCTGTGGGGTTGCAGTACAATCTCCACTCCATACCCTCCACTTTCTCCCAGTCAGGATTGAAGGAGCTAAGTGCTGGGCACTTGATGGAAGGTTAAAATTCAGCTGGCTGATACATCAGTGCTGCCTGTTTTCCCTCTGGACAGAAGTATTTAGGCCCATTTGCAGCAGAATTAACTTCCTGGACTCCAAGCAACCTTTCTGTTGTCATCTTTATGCTTCCAGCCCCAGTCCTAATGACATCCTGGATGCTGGAATTCAGTTCTCCTCCCATCTCTCATTCCTGTTTTCTGCTGTTAATGCACACCTTCATGTCCACGTCAGGAACTACACCAAATCCCCAGAAAAACGTCAGGCTGTGCTAAAAACAGGGGGATGAGGGATTTTTTCCCCCCACCTCTTTCCCCACAGATGCATTTATCACTAGGGCAACTTCACTTGAGAGTTCACTACAAATCCAAGCCGATGGCTTAGATCCAGGCAGGGAGAAGTTTTATGGACTGAGCTAAGCGTGAATTACACTTCTGGTCACTGCAATTTTTTCCCCCTTCCTTTCTTTCTTTTCCTTCACTGTGACCCTGGCATCGAAGCAGTTACAATTGCAAAGTATTTCATAATGCAGCTTTTTTTTCCTTCTGCTTGGAACGTCTGAGAGGAACCTGGGTGGATTTAAAAGGTGTGGTGTCCCTGGAAAAGGGCAGTGGAGGTGGTGGTGGTGGCGGGACTAACCACTGGTTTTAGCAGCGGGTATAAATCATTGTCCTTTTCAGGCAAGGCTCCCAAGATGTCCATGTTTATCCAGGAATGAGAGGGAGGTGCATTTTCTTCTCAGTCTGGCACTAAATGCAACCACTGGCTTCATTCCAGGGAGTGAAAGCTGTGGGTGAACAGGAGTTCACCTCTGCCCCTTCTTTTGCCCTCGGCCACGTTCAGGTGAGGCAGAGTTTCTCCAGTGGCCTGGGAGATGGGAAGGAAGGTAGGAAGGAAGGATGGGCAGCCAGGAGCAGGGTCCTGTGGGGAAAGGACTCTGTTAGGGCCCCAGTGGATGGGCTGGTTCCTTTTCTGATCCTGTTTCCAGAAGCAGGATGGGTGAACTCCTCATTTTGTTTGGAGCATGAGGAGCATGGCTGAGAGAGGCTGGGGAGTGGGAGGATGTGTCTGCTCAAAAGGGGCAGTGGGAAATGTTACTGAACATGGAGGGGGTGGTTGAGGCATCCTCTGGAGTAGCAGGAGGAGTTTTTTTTGCTTTATTTATTTATTTGTTGAATTTTAGGGTTGTTTTTTTCATTGCTTCAGGGTTAGGAGCTGGAGAGCAGGTCTTGCCTAGAGGTGAGCCAGCGTGTGTTGGATAAGTGGCTATTTTGAGACCCTGGAAGGCTCCTCTGCAGGCTCCAGTTTCTGTGTGGATTGCCAACAGCCTGTGCCCTCAGCTTGGTACATCTGGTAGGAGCAGTCAGGATATGCTGGACAAAACGATTTCTCCAGACTTGGAAAAAGCGTTTCCTAGGTCTTCACCAAATTGTGAACCCTTTGCAAATTTCCACTTCCCACTGCGGCCACTTAGAGTGATATAAACTGTCAGAGTTTAGTGGATTTCCCCATGGGATTTCTCTGGAACACCTATGGATTCCCAGAGCTGGAGGCTGAGTCTGCACAGTCACTCCCTCCAGCCACCACTGTATAAGAACTCGTCGGGACAATTTGGAATGGGCTGCTTTTCACGTGCATTTAAGGAAAAGTAAAATAAATAAATAAATAAAAGAGAATAAAAGCCTGGTTGAAGAGATAAGCTATTAGAAAACCTAGTGGGATATGGTATGTAAGAACTTTCTGCCTTCATTGCAGCAAGAACTGAAGGAACCTCGAACCATGAGCAACTCCAGCTTTGTCTGTCCTGTTTATCCATCACTTTATTCCCCTCTAGGGCTCTGCTTTGCCCACATGGATATATTGCAAATAAACAGTGCTGCACTTTCTGTTCCCCTTTCTCACCTGCCCACACTTTCCCTATAGGAGAAGAATCAGCTCCAAATTAAAAAAAAACAGCCCACGGACCAACACGGTTTTTCCTCTGGATGAGCCTCCATTGCTCCACTGGAGCTGGAAGAGCTCAGGAAATGTATTCCCATTATATGTGTAAGGGATGCAGCAGGGAACTGGGATGTGTATGGCTGCTTCTCTGGGAAGTGGACATGGAGTGGGGCACACAGAGCCTCTGGATACAGCTGTAAATTGGGGTTAGAAACCAAGCAAGGAATTCCTGGCCCTGGGCCAGTGGCATAAGGGCAGCAGGCAGGGGAAGGTGGAAGTGCCAGTGGATCTGAAATTCCCATCAATCCCATCCCCTTCTGAACTTCCAGCAGGCAAAGGGAATGGGTTGGATTTGCAGACTGTGCCTCTCTCCTATGTGTTCCTCAAGCCCAAATTACAACAGTTACAGCAAACCGTGTTTGCTCCACAGAGCAGCAGGAGAGGGGATGGATGGATGGATGGATGGATGGATGGATGGATGGATGGATGGATGGATGGATGGATGGATGGATGACCACCATTCCCTGCTGCCACTGGAGACTTGAAAATGTGCACTCAGAAGCTGAGGGTGTGTTTTTAACGCTCGGAGAGCAATAATAAGGATATAGAGAGTTTTCAAAGAAGGGTCACGGAGATGGTGAAGGGAATATGGAGAATGAAGATGGTGAAGGGATAAGGACCAGCTGAGGGCACTTGGCTTGTTCAGCCTGGAGAAGAGGAGGAGGAGGAGAGAGAGGGAGGAAATCTCAGCATGGCCTGCATCTTCTTCCTGAGGGACAGCTCCCATCTCTGCTCACTGAGCCCAGGGACAGAACCCAAGGGAGCAGCTGGAGCTGTGTCAGGGCAGGGTTTAGGCTGGATATCAGGGAAAGGTTCTTCCCTCAGAGGGTGCTGGGCACTGCCCCGGCTCTCCAGGGAATGGGCACAGCCCCGAGGCTGCCAGAGCCCAAGGAGCTCTCAGGGATGCGCAGGGTGGGGTTGGACTGGATGATGCTGGTGGATCCCTGCCAAGAGAAGATCCCAGAAGCTGCGCTGTGGGAAAACGGAGATACAATCAGTAAAATGACCAGAAACGGGGAGAACGGGAGCCCACAAAAGCTGCGCGAAACTGCCCGATCCCTACCGCAGCTGTCCCAGCCCCGCAGCAGCAGGAAGGAGCCGCAACTCCCTGAGGAAAACAAGCGGCGGGGACAATCCACCTTAACGGGAGCAGGAAGCGAAGCGGGGCCAATCAGGCCGGGAAGGGAGGCCGGGAAGGAGGGACTGGGGGAGGCACCGGGGAGGGCGAGCGGGGCCGGCGGGGCGCGATGGCGGAGGGCGGGGACGCGCCCGCCCCGGGCAGGTACCGTGGGCAGGGGGGTCCCCGGGGGTGGCCGTGCCGGGGGACAGCGGGGTGACCCCCCCCGGGCTCGGCACCCCTTTCTCATGCCGCTGTGCGCCTCTCTCCAGCGCAGGTCGCAACCTGAAGGAATGGCTGCGGGAGCAGTTCTGCGACCACCCGCTGGAGCACTGCGAGGACACCCGGCTGCACGACGCGGCCTTCGTGGGCGACCTGCCCACCCTGCGCAGCCTGCTGCAGGACGAGAGCTTCCAGAGGTGGGCATGCAGCCCTGCCGGCACGGCCCCACCGCCTGCCTGCTCCCCCCGCAGCGCTCCGGCTGCCCCGCGTCCCACCTGCATCCCACCCGTGTCCCACCTGCATCCCTCCTGCATCCCTGCTGCATCCCACCCATATCCCACCCGTGTCCTACCCGTGTCCCACCTGCATCCCTCCTGCATCCCACCCATGTCCCACCCGTGTCCCAACTGCATCCCTCCTGCATCCCTCCTGCATCCCTGCTGCATCCCACCCATGTCCCACCCGTGTCCCAACTGCATCCCTCCTGCATCCCACCCATGTCCCACCCGTGTCCTACCCGTGTCCCACTTGCATCCCTCCTGCATCCCACCTATGTCCCTCCTGCATCCCACCCGTGTCTCACTCGTGTCTCACCTGCATTCCACCTGCATCCCTCCTGCATCCCACCCATGTCCCACCTGCGTCCCACCCGTGTCCTACCCTCATCCCACGGATCGTGCTGAGCATCCGGTGCCACCCCTGCCAGGGACAGGGACACCTGCCACTATCCCAGGGTGCTCCAAGCCCCGCCAGCCTGGCCTGGGACACTTGCAGGGATGTGAGATTTTATGGGAGAAATGCTTCACTCGCCACCCTCACAGCTGCGCCTTTTGGGGATTCCCATCTCAAGTGTTTTTCTTGTCAGAGGTTTCAGGGCGTTCTTCCCACTGTTTCCACAGCCTGAACCTTTTGGGGACTCCCATCCCACCTGCTGTTTTTGGGGGGAGGTGTTTCCTCGGATGTTCTTGTTGTCCCCACAGCTTGCTCTTTTTGGTGACCTGCATCTCGTCCCGTTTTTTTCATAGCATGGTTTGAGTTGGAAGGGACCTCAAAGCTCATCTTATCCCACCCCCTGCCACGGAGAGGGACACCTCCCACTATCCCAGGTGGTTCCAAGCCCTGTCCAGCCTGGCCTTGGACAATTCCAGGGATCCAGGGGGTTTTCATGAGAGAGGTGTCAGGTTGGTGGGATGCTCCCCTTTCCCCCAGATCATTCCCCTGGTTTCCCAGGAGGCAAATCTCACAGCAGCTCATGAGGCTATGGCAGCTGTGCTTGAACACTTTTCAGATCAGGATAGGAATGTGATACCAGGAAAATGGGAGCCTACGGATAATGGGGAAAACATACAAAAGGGATTACAATCAGCTATAAACCTGAAACACCCCATGCTACAAAATCTGCCCAGTGCTAACCCTGTGACAGTGGGGATAGTTAATTAATTTTCCTGCATCATGGAGAAATCTGCTTAGAGTGCTAAATGTTTCCCAGCCTCAAAAAAAGGTGTTATTTCAGCAAAAAATGAGAATGAGCCAGCCCTTCTTTTCTGCTACCTGGACAGCTGGGGCTCTTGGGACCCTTGGGCTGAGATTTTTTGGTAGGAAAAAGCAGAGTTTGACAGGAAGAGGAGCTCCATTCCAGAGGTGATGGAGTGAGCAGAGACGTGATGTCTTTGAATCTGGAGGTAGATACAGAGCTCAAAGCTCATCCAATTCCACCCTTGCCACAGGCAGGGACACCTTCCATTCTACCAGGTAGCTCCAAGCCCCAAAGTCCAACCTGGACTTGGACATTTCCAGAAATGGAGTAGGCACAGCTGTTTGGGATATCTCCCTTGAAAACGGGACAAAAGGGAGAGGCTGTTGTTCTTTATTTTCTTTTTTTAAGAGGTGATTTTTGAGGCAAGGTTTGTGCAGGTGTGCAGCCCCTGGCACAAGTAAAGCCCACTGTGAAGCACTGCTCTTCTTCATCTGTCCAGGCAGCATCTGTCAGGTGACTGACAGGAGCTTTTTGGGGCTGCTAAAAGGGCCAGAAATCAGAGAATCGTATCCTGAGTGGAAAAGCGACAGCTTTGCACCAGGGGTGGAAGTGGGGTTTCCCTCTTGAACTCCAGAGAAATTTCAAAGGGATTCAGGCTGTGGGATACAACTCCCATCCCCAGCTTACTCAGCTTTGCATGGGGCTGGTTTTCAAACCTGCCTGGGCTTCTGCTGAGGGAGGCTCACATAAGCTGGAGTTCCATTAGGCCTGGGTTTAGGAGGCCAATGGCACTGCTCAGGAGGAGCATATGGCATAATAGAGTGATGCCATGGAGGTTCAGCTCCCGAATCAACGTGGGCACCACCATCCTGTTGTCCCTGTGCTGGAAGAGCTCTCCATGGACTCCAAGGAAGCCCTCCAAAGAAAGCTGGGATAAGGCCCGAGCTGGCTGTCAGTGCTGTTGTTTCCCAGGGGATGGGTGAGAAAAAAATGCAATCGACATAATTTTAAAATGATCCAAATAGAACCACGGAGCTGGAAGGTGTTCACAAGGATCAAAGTGCAGCCCCTGGCCCTGCACAGACACCCCGTGCATCCCTGAGAGCATTTATCCAAATGTTCCTTGGGGTCTTGGCAGCCTTGGGGCCGTGCCCATTCCCTGGGGAGCCTGGGGCACCCTCCTGGAGGGAGTGGGTGGCTTCTCTCACTGCGTGTTCCCCCCCTCTGCAGCCGGATCAACGAGAAGTCGGTGTGGTGCTGCGGGTGGCTGCCCTGCACCCCGCTGCGCATCGCGGCCACCGCCGGCCACGGCCCCTGCGTCGACTTCCTGCTGCGCAAAGGGGCCGAGATCGACCTGGTGGATGTCAAGGGCCAGACCGCCCTCTACGTGGCCGTGGTCAACGGGCACCTGGAGTGTGCCAAGATCCTGCTGGAGGCCGGCGCTGATCCCAACGGGAGCCGGCACCACCGCAGCACCCCGGTGTACCACGCGGCGCGCGTGGGGCGCGCCGACATCCTGCGGGAGCTCATCAGGTCAGAGCTGCCTCTCCCTTCTCCTGCTCCCTCGGCATCCCTTCCCTCCTCACCTGGCTGCAGCCTCCACGCCTCTTGGAATGGAGAGGAGAGGGTGGAGGGGTGCCCAGAGGGACATCCTTGGATTTCCCGTCACTTGGCCTTGGCAATGGGTCTGTTCCCACCTGTTCCAGTCCAAGCCCGGGACAGGAGTCTCTGGTTCTGAGCCCGCCATCCAGTCAGATCCAAACCTTGCAATCCCCCCTGCTTCCACCATGCCCCTGACTGGAGTTAGGAGGGAGGTGGATTCCCTGAAAAAACCTCCCTGGGTGTTGGGTTTTTCATCAGGAGTCTCCCTTGGCGGCACCAGCAGGGCTCAAAGTGTAGCAGGAGGCTGTGGGAACTTGAATTGCTCGTTCTGTGGCGTGCTCTGATTATTCCCTCTTTTTAAATGGGAGTATTTCTGTCCAAGGGAAACGTGCTGGACAAGTATGTGGGCTATGGATGCCAGATAATAAGGGATCATAAAGGGAAAATGTAGGCTATAGGGAGAAATAGTGAAAGAGAAGAAAATCGAAGGAATCCTTTTGACGACCTCAAATGCTAGAAAATAACAAAAGGATTTGAATAGGAAAAGATTAAAAATCCTTGGGGATTTTCTTCCTTTTATGAATTTTCATACAAGTGGAGCTTTGAGGAAGAAGAGGAGATAATTCCCCCCTCCTTGCTCCTTTCCCAACAAGCTGAGAGGAGGATGTTCCCATCAGCACGGGCTTGTCGATACTGTGCATTCCCAAACTCACTGCATTCCCAAAAAGTCTTGCCTGCTCTCTCCACCCAGGCAGGGTGAAATGTAGCAAATGGTATTTCAGCAGCACGGGGAGAACTGATGCCTTGATTTATGTGTCTGCTTCTTGGGATATCTCACCAGCAATATTAAAAGTAAGATTTTGGACAACTTTCAGGATTAAAAATTAACTGGAGTTTGTCCAATCTCTTTTTATTAGGCAATGTCTCTCCCAAGGCTGCTAAGCTAATACCAAATTGTCAGATTGCCCAAAATTTCAAATATCTCAGAGTAGGGATTTCACAGATCTGTGCAGAGTTACTTAGTGAAAAATGCAGCCTTTATGTACAGGGATTTTTCAAATGTTGAATCTACAGGATTTGGCAGGGGGAATGTAACGAGGAAGACACTTTTCCTGAAGTAGGAGGGAATATTTGGAGAGAACCTGAACCCAGTCAGGTCGCTGCAGATGTCTAAACATCACCTGATTTGAAAATCCTATGGTAGCACCATTGGGGTCCCTGAGCATTCCTACAAGTGCTGAACCAAGCAGGAGGTGAAATCCCATCCATGAATAGTAAATCCACATGTGGCTATGGAATAGGGATCCATTTTACTGGGATATTTCGAGTTCTAATGCCAGGATATAAATGACATTCCTCGTAATTTGGGATCATGCTGTGGTGGGATCCACTGCTACCTGCAGTGGGGCTGAGAGTAGCAGGGATCAAAGGATCCAGGATTTGCCAGGCTAAAACTGGGAAAAAGAGAGCTGCTATATCACCCTCATCCCTCGGGTACATGCCTGCCCCTGCTAAAAGTACAGTTTGGGGGTTTGCTTTGAATTGAGAGCTTCCACTGAGAATTTTGATGGTAATAATGGGGGAAGAAAGTACTGAAATGAAGGGAGATCTGCTGTCTGCTCAGGAGGCTGTGGCCTTACAACAGCCCTGTGGAAGTCCCACAGGAGCACAGATAACTCTGTCCAAATGCTTGTGTAATCTGATTTTAAGGGGGAAAAATACACTTTGTGCCATTTGCAGCTCTTAGAGGAGTCTCTCAGCCCTTGTTCTGGGTGTGCTTAATTTAAATGAAACTCTTCCCATGCTGGGAGCTGAAGGATTTGGTTGAATATTTGCCGGAGAGGGAGCAGTTCCCTCTGGTTTCAGCAAGAACTGTGCCTGCTTTGAGGTAGGATTTGTCCCCAGGTATTTTCCTTAGTTTTATGAACTCCTGAGAGGAATGTAATGCTGTCTAGGAAAAACCTGTCTCTCTGAGTGCTCAGTTTGCAATCTGAGGACGGGGACTGGTGGGTGAAGGAACTTTTTCTCCCTCTGTGGGCAGAGTGGACTGGGCTTTGCAGTTAAAACCAGCTAGTCCCTAGGGATTTTGTCTTCTTCCTCCTTCCTCCTTCTTCCCATCCAAACTGCATGGGAGGAATGTGGAATTACTGTCCCCTGCTGCCTGGGGGAATCCCCAGCAGATTCCAGCCCCTCCAGCTCCTTTGGGAGCAGGGGTTTGTCACAGATGTTTCACTGTGGAGTGCAGATCCCTGTTTCCATTTCCCTGCTGTTTGGGATCGAGTGCCTGTGTTGCTTTTTTGGTCCTTTTTATCCTGGTAGGGAAGTTATTTCAGCATCCCTTTTCAGTGGAGTCATCTGGAAACATCCCTGCTCCCCAGGCAGCTTTTTAGTATCCAGCATTACGTGGTGCTGGCTCGGGGCTGAGCCATCCCTGGTGCCAAGACACGAGAGGAGAGAACAACTGAAGGTTCCTGGGTCGAGATAAGGAATGGGGGAGATAGGAAAGGGGAGAGATCACTCAATCAATACCATCATGGGCAAAACAGACTCAACTTGGGGGTATCAGTTTAGTTTATTCCTAATAAAATCAGACCAGGGTAAATGAGAAGTGGAATGAATCTTAAAAAACACCTTCCCCCACCCCTCCTGCCTTCTTCAAGCTCTACCTGTGTTGCCTGGAAAGGCTGACCTGGAACAAAGACTAGACAGAGCAAAAGGAATAAAATAGGAATTTATTGAAAGGGTACTTGTTGGGCAGTGCAAGAGCCTGGCTGGGGCTACACCCAAATCAAATCCAAGATGCATCCCAGTCACCAGTCTTTACATTTTTGTAAGTTTTGGTTCATCTTCATCTACATTCTGGGGTCAATTATCCAACCATAGCCCCAGACTATGAAGTCTCAGCACCCTGGCTTGCCCCCTTTCCCTCGCAGTTGTTTCTGCTTTTTGGGTACTGGTTGTCCTTGATTCTCTAGCTAGGAAGGGATTGTTTTTGTCTAACTGCCCTGTGAAGAGACATTACCAACACCTAATAAGAAGTTTCAGAGTTACACACTAAGCAAAAATAGAAGAGCTAAAACCCAAGGCATCACCTGTTCTTCCTCACCCAACATGGGGGAAGCTTCTGAAAGAAGCCACCCCCGTACCCTTGCACTGCCAAAACCTGGCCGTGCAAACCCAATCCATCAGGAGGGCAGGGATGTTCCTGCTCCTCCCCTCTCCAAATCCCGGGCTGTTGTGGGCAGGGAAGAGACCAGACTGTGCTGGCTGTCTTGACTCCACTCAGAAGCGCTGCATGGCCCAGCTGAGGGTAGGGATGGGCAGGTTCCTCTGCGTCCTTCAGCCTCGTGCCGTGCCATTCCCAACCCTCCGTCCCTCTTCCCGGAGCAGGTACGGCGCGGACGTGGACGTGAACCACCAGCTGGCGTCCCGTGGGCCCGGGCAGGCGCTGCGGCCGCTGACCACGCTGGTGGTGTGTCCCCTGTACATCAGCGCGGCCTACCACAACCTGCCCTGCTTCCGCCTGCTGCTCCAGGCGGGAGCCGACCCGGATTTTAACTGCTGCGGGCCCATCAACGTGCAGGGCTTCTCTCGGGGCTCGCCCGTGTGCGTGCTGGACGCCGTGCTGCGGCACGGCTGCGAGCCCGCCTTCGTGCGCCTCCTCGTTGACTTTGGAGCGGATCTCAACCTCGTCAAGGTGGAGGCCTTGGGAGTGGAGGCCACGGGGAGGGTCAAGGTGAACGCCGAGGCGCTGGAGGTGTTCAAAGAAGCCAGGGGTGAGTGGGTTTGGGTCCCCGGAGCTCTTTGGAGGTGAGGGTGCTGCTGAGCTGGTGGGGTGGGTGTTGCTGTCCTTGCTTCAAGGACCTTCAGCAATAAGGTAAGGGCTCTAACAAGCTGGAAAACAGAGCAGTCCTGACTTCTCCACTCCCTGCTTTTTCCCTGTTGCACTTTGTACCTTCTCACGGTGTTTTCCCCTCTTGAGTCCTCCAGCAGCCCAACCTCTGTTATTCCACCTTTTTCATCTCTCCCAGCTCTTTTCCATTGCCTGCTCATGTGGGCAAGGCTTAGGGGCCCTCTGCAAGCTGGGCTTTGGAGCTGTGGATCACCAGTTCTCCAGAGCCACACAGGTGTGTCCCAGCTCCTCCTGTGTGACCTTGGGCTCTGGATCCAAGAGGGAGTTTAATCTTGATAGACTTCTTGGGAAGAAAAGCCACAAACGGTGGTGAAAAGGGGCAGGAGGAAGCTCGGATGGAGGTGAAAAAAAATGGGGAAAAGTGCAGCACCTCGGAAACCCACCTGGTGAAGGCCACAGCTTTGCACCAGGGGTGGAAGTGGGGTTTCCCTCTTGAACTCCAGAGAAATTTCAAAGGGATTCAGGCTGTGGGATACAACTCCCATCCCCA